CATTGATCAACAATTTCTATTGTACTTCATTGCAACAAAGGCAAAAATAAATCTTCTTCATATGCTATTCAACCATTTGAAGACAAGTGTGAAAGAAACAAGAGAAGATGAAAGAACTAAGAGGGATTGGATACCTTTGAGTAGGCTGATATCAGATATTTTGACTGAAAATAAATTAGTAGAATATCTGACTGAAGCTCAGCTGATCAGCACTCTGGAGGCATGTGTTGGAAAACCTCTCAATGCTAAGAATCTGAAGAAGATGAAGATCATTGACAGTATTAAGAAGGATCCAACTATTTCAACCAAATAAGTCATCATATCAAGAAGAGTCCCTCTGAAAGATTTCCCTCTGTTCTCTCAAATAGACGTTTCATTAGAAATTATTGTCAGATATCTGGAAGCATGCAAGATGGATGGGACTAATCCAGAGTTAAACATCCGTGATCTGTGTCAACAGGATCCAGAAGTTGTCCTCAAGAAATCCAGAAAAGGAAAGTTGTAGGAGAAGGATCTTCTTAGAAGACACCAAAAGCTGCTAAGAAGAAAGGTAATTCTTCTTTTATTTATGTTGTAGAATCAATGATTTTTTCAACATCTGAAACACCCTCCTCTCCAAAACCAATAGAAGACCCCTCACCACAAACCTTTGATGATTTTGATATAGAATTTGACCCTTCAGTCACACTAGAAAACATTCTGAACGAACCATACTCTCCTAATGCACATCTTGAACAAAATCAGCCAGAACTTGCTCAAGTTCTTTCTGATATTGATCAATTTGATCCAGAATTTCAAGCTCCCCACATAGAAAATACAAACTTCCAAGCTACCCACTCAGAAAATCCAAATGCTCATGCTTCCCAACCAGAAAATCCAAATATTGACTCTGATACCACCACACTAATTCCTGGAATAACAGAACCTCTCATGGTTCGACAACCTCTCTCAATCCACGACATTCCAAAAATCCCATCTCCTTACCATTCCACTCCACCAAACACACCTCCATCACCCATTATCATTTCTGATTCTCCCTCTCCCTCTCCTATTAATCCTCCAGAAGATCACCTAAGAACCGTAATAGACTTAGAAGCGCTGGATCACCTTGCCTCTAACTCTCACAAAATTGCTATCTCAAAACCAAAACCGACTATCACCAAGGCATATGTTGGTAAAAATTTACTGATTTTTGAAAAAGAGATAATTGAATGGGTTAACTCTTTGAAGCTAGCATGCTTAGAAAATATGAATCTCGCTGCCTCTGATTCTCACTGGAACCAATTCAGAAAATGGTCCAATTCTGAATCCCAGAAACTCAAGGAGTTAAGCTATGAAATGGCCCAATGGAACTTCTGTGATCAGCTGAATATTTTCAAGGATCAAGTTTTGCATCACTGGGAAAAGAAACCTATTCTTCTGCTGGATAATGCTCCCTAGAAAGAGTATCATCCTTCAGAAGTTGATGAACCATGTTCTGATAATCTTTCTCTGGTTGTTGTTCAAGACAAAGGAAAAGAGACTGAAGAAGCCACTGAGTCAGAACCTGCTACAGCTTGTTCTGAGAAGCTTGCACCTTTTATGGATATACCTTCTTCATCTCTGGTTATGCAAACTCTGGAGGAGTTGAAGAAAGAAAATGCAGTGATCAAGGAAAGACTAGACAAGTAAGATGACACATGCAAAGAAATCAAATGAATACTGGGAAAACAAGAGGAATCAAACAGTCAGATTAAGAACTTGCTGGAAGCGTTGTTCACACGACTTCCTCCACCTCAATCTTAGTTTTTTTAAAACTTGTTTTCTTTACTGTATTCATTTTTTTGTTTGCCTCTGAACGTGTTATTGCAATCAATTTTAATACAACTCAACTTTTGACTCTGGATATTAGTGTTTATATTGTTTTTTTTTATTCTTGACAAAAAAGGGGGGAGAACGTAAGATATTTCTAATAACAGTATATCGAGACACAATCTCAAATATTTTGAATATCATAAATTCTCGTTCTTTTTCTAAAAGCAAAACAGGAACTAAACTCTGATGAAGACAAAAGTTGATGCATCAAAAGCTCTTATCAGAATGAACTTCAGGGAAGTAATTCATCTCTATCTGAGTACTCAGCTCAGGGGGAGACCCTATAATGCTTTATGTTCTGTTTATTTTGATTGAAATATCCTAGTTTTTGTCATCACCAAAAAGGGGGAGATTGTTAGAACATAGTTTGATTCTACAACTCTTGTAAGAGTTTTGATGATAACAAACAAAAAGAACAATTATGCACTCTAAAATTATATTTTGTTTTGTAGAGAAGTTATGATGGAAGAAGATTAGAAGATAAGCTACAAGACTGTCCCTGCTGTGATTGTAGACAACTCTCAAAAAGCTCTGATGAAAGGAGATCAGAAGTTGCGCTAAAAAGATGTTTCAACTCTGATTATAAAACTCTGAGAAAGAAAGTCTAACGCTGCAAATGGGATCTTATGGCTCTGATCTTCAAAAGTTCTGAAGCAAGCTGCAACGAATACTTCAATGTTCTGAAGCATTACAAATCAAATATTTTCGTTTCAAGAGTAACGACTGGAAGAGAACAATGATCTTTAGTTTTGGAAATCACCTTAACTGTCATTAATCAAGTTTCCAAATGATCATCCATGTTGCGCCTATTTAAACAAGCCTTGAAGATAAATCGTTTACGATTTTCACATATACTCAAGAACGCTGCAAACATCTCTAATCCCCATACATTCAATATTTTCAACTGTATAAAACATCACTATCTTGTGATACTGTTTTGAAAGAAATAATATTATACACTGTTTATTCTTATATTGTTTAGTGCATTTCCTTAAAAAAAATCGAGTTGTGATTATATTCAAGATCACAAAGGTAAAGTGCCTTTGACTCTTTATGTAGTCATAGTTTATTTTCTTAGTGTGTATACATACGTTTGGCCATATAATGCTTTATTACCAAATGATTTCACACAGAAAATGATGATGTTAAAATACAGAAACAATAGAAGTTGCTTTGAATATAAAATAGGGATGAAAATTATATTCAGTGTTAAAGAAAGTTATGTATAAGCATCTTTACATGGCAATATAGTGGATTGATTAAAATTGTTTGAGATGGAGGGGAGAGGGGACTTGTAGGCATCTATCTCTTTTCCCCCACCTTTTATTAAAGAAACAAGAAAATTGTCTAAATGGAAGTCATCAAGATATATCTAAGTTTTTAATTAGTTCTTTAAGCAAAATGTGAAAATCACTATTTTACCAAGTAACAACAACAATTAATTTTTGTTTGATGTTATTCATATTACTTAACAACAATTAATTTTTGTTTGATGTTATTCATATTACTTAACTAGGGTGGTTATAAAAAAACTATGAACTGAACTGTCGAACTGAACCAAATTAAACTGAGATTAAAATAATTAAATTGTTATAGTGAACTAAACTATATTACACAAACAATTTTAGAATTGAACCGATATTGAAATTGAACCGAAACTGAAATCGAACCAAAACTGAAAATGAAAAATACTAAAAATAAATTTTTATTTTTTTTGTAAAAATAGTTTAATAGTTCGTTTCTCGAATAAACGGTTCGGTTTGGGAAAAATATCTTCTGGCGGTTCGGTACGGTTGAAACGGTATACCAAATCAATAATTTTGATTCGATTCTAAGTAAACTGAAACGGTTTGAGTGAACTTTTACTATGGTTTGATTTGGTTCGGTTCGGTTTTCTTCTTAAACTATACCATGAACACCCTTACACCCGACAAAGTACAACTATATGATTCATTTTCTATCTTAAGTAGTATTAATTTAATTTAATTTATTTATTTTTTCTTTTAAATTTAAAAACAGATTCATCCAATTATGATTGATAAGAGTTGGATTGACAAGGCAATTGAATGAAATGGCGTAGTCCAGTTTTTGGAATTTGCCTTTTCAAATGCAGGTATCAAATGTGGTATTTTGTGACCTTGTATTCAATGTAATTTTGGTAGTTTGGGCAACAGAGCCGAAGTGAGTAATCATCTCTTTCAAAAGGGTTTTCCTAGCAACTACACATGATACATGCATGGGGAAAAGCCTGTTCAAGCCAATGTTGAATCAGTATGTCAAGTACAAGAATGAAGAAGGAAAAGATACTAGTGAAAGTAACTCAGTATTGTTAGCTTTGACAATCCTCTGGTCCGTTAGAAAATTGACAAATTTGTCTGCGTTGTCTGATAGTGAAATTGTTGGAATGAACTCTATTCATTGAGCTGCCAATTTGTCCTTACAATCAACGAATATTCAGCTTTGTTTTGGGAAGTAATTCCGGGGCTCTAAAGGCTTAACAGATGTAATGATTTTTGCTTTTTGCATACACTAGGCTATTTTATAAAATTAATCATTGCTCCTGATGCAGGTCAGGTCAATTTGCACTTCTACCAACAATTACTAAAACTCAATATTTAACCTTAAAACATACAACAAAAAAAACTAGTTTTTAATAACAGTTTAAAAAGCTAAGCTAGTCATTTTAACTTCTAGAAAAGTATCAGCTTCTTACAATTTGCAGCTAACCTACACTTACTGGATAAATATTGAAGTTTCTGTTCTGTAATCATATTAAGGATCTGGGGGTGATTCTATTTGAATTGCATTGTGAAGCATTAAGCACATAGATTATTTACTGGGACTTTTCTTAAGAGCAAGCATTGTGAAGCATTAAGCACATAGATTATTTACTGGGACTTTTCTTAAGAGCATTGGGTTGCGTCACACCCTTATTCTATATGTCTAACTAAATGACCTTTTGATTGAAATGTAGAATATTTTGAGAAATGTAGAATATCTCGAGTCAGTCTCTTTATACTTCTATATAGTGTAGACGACATTAAACGGAATCTACATGCATCTTAATCATGGAATTTCATTCACTATTGAGCTATCGTTTTGCTAATAGGATAAGAGATCACAATACTTATCTGTAGATCAAGATCATGCTGTCGAAGGTATTAGCTCATCCCGAGGGCTCAATTGGAGATGTATGTAAAGTTGAGGTTTCAGATCAAGTGGACATTGGTGAAAAGTTTATCTCTAATCTAAGGGATCTTGATGACACTAACACTTTTGGAATGCTTTCTTTCACTAATAGTTTTGATAACTCTTGTCAAAAGAATTTTGAAGACTTGAAAAATCATGCAGAAGCTTTGGAAATAAAAACTAATTGGATACGAAGAAACTAAGGAGCAACTTGCACAAGTACAAAACCAAAATTGACAATTCTTCACAAGTTTTTACAACATAAATTTGGCGAGGAATGACATTCTTTTCACCAAAGCTTTCCTCCATTTTAATGATTAAATTTACTTATGCATGAATTGATGTTAACATTTTGCACTTGCTATGTCATTTTATGCGTACTTGATACCACACTATCACACTAGTTTTATGAAGTGTGTCTTTTTAACTTATTTAATGTGTTAATTTTTTAATGTTTATTGATATTATGAGTATCTTTATATTAACATATTGTATTCGGATTGAGTATCTCTATAAATACATAGAGCAACATTAATAAATTCGTCCTCTTCCCTCATTTTGCAATATTTTTTCCCTTTTTATTTTTCTATTTTCCCCAACAAATTGGTTTTGTTGGTATCTAGAGTTTGGTCAATTCTAGGAAACTTGTGTGTTTGATTTAGTTATCAGTCATAGTGGGTAATGGAAACTTTGTGGTACACCTGTCTATTCTTGATGGCAAGAATTGAGGCAAGTGGGTGATTAAGATGAAGGTGATCTTTGGTGTACAAAATGTTAATAATATGGTGGAGACATGACTCGAGACTCTTTCTGCTAAAGAACTACAACATAGAAGATAATGAAAGCACAAAATATCTTGCGATATCTTTTATATGCTTTAAGTATTCGTGTTTTGATGTTTCTGTCAATTCGATTATTGATTGAATGTCTTGCGTATTTGTAATTTGAAGAATATTCTATTCGTGTGTTTGTACGCTTTTATCATTTGAATTTATGTGTAATCGTTTTAGCTATTATTATTAGATTGTACCACTGAGAACCCTCTTCATTTCAATAATGATATTCTCTTGATTCCTGATTGGCATTTCCTTTTTGTGTCCATGTGTGATACGGTGGCAGAATCGACTGTTATACTGGTTTTGCGTTTGTGTTCGCAAATGTTGCGGTAAGCAAGAGTCGCCACCGAATTTTCTTTTATCCAAATTAAGGAAAGGGTGAAAAGAACAGAAAAAGACCTTTTCGAGAATTTTCTGAGTAAGGGGGATAGATTATGGAAATGGAAGGTGTTAGCACCCTTTCCATCCGTAGTTATCTACGGGCTCTTAGATGCTTAGCTCATGTTTTGAAATACCTTGTGCTTTTGTGGGTTTTGAAAAATGTTTTGAAATGCCTTAGTGCGGAGATTCGCTTTGTGATAACTCTTTTATCAGTCCTTAAGAGTGTTGACAGAGCAAATGTTTTTTTGAAAGTTGTTTTTGAAAGGTTTTTGTGTAGGTGCAAAAGTTTGTTTTGAGCATAGCATATAAGAACTATCTACTTATACTCGAAAAGGTTCGTTCTTTTCCTCCCATCCTTTAGACTGTGTTATCCTACTATTAGTGAGTAAGTAGCCCAATCGTTGGATGTATGAGGGACATTCGAAGGGACATACAGTCATAAAGGCAACTGTAGAGACGCTTTAACAATTTTTGTTTAAGGACTAGATCATTTACCGAAAGGCAACTGTAGGGTCATCGAGGGACTATGATCTTTTGATTTACGGGTCTTTGCTAAAGCGTCCCCGTTTCGAGGGACATGACTATTTTTTCGAAGGCAACCAAAGTGGGAGTACCCTAGAGGTGTATATGTGCAAGTGTGCTTGTTTCAGTTATTTATCTTTTTTGTTAGGTTTGCTAGCTGTAACACGGTGGAAGAACTATCTTGGGTGTTTTGCATTTTACCGCAATTGTTGCGGATAGCAAGAGTCACCACTGACTTTTATTTTATCCTATAAGGAAAGGGTGGAAAAAACAGGAAAGATCTTTGATATTTTTTCTTGAGTTTGGGGGGTAGATTATAAAAAAGAGAAGGTGTTAGCACCCTTTTCATCCGTAGTTATCTATGGGCTCTTAGTTGCTTGCTAGATCACTTTTGAAATTGCTTTGTTTGAAATGCGTGTGTGGTGGGTTTTGAAAGTATTTTTGAAAAGCGCCTTCGTTTAGGAAAACTTTGTAATGATTCTCGTATCTATAAGAATGCATACAAAGTGTTGGACTTTTGAAAATATTTCATGTTTTGAAAGTGTTTGGTGTGTTCGAAAAGATGTTTGTTTTGAAGATGGATTGTGAGCAAGCAACTAAGAACGTTCTACCTACTCAAAAAGTCTTTTATTTATTCCTTCCTTTGATATTGCTATCTTACCATTGATTGGTAAGGATGAAAAAGGATGAGCGTGGATCATCGTATAGTCATGATAGCAATGTTGTGAGATATCTTAGCATTTCTCTTAAGTGACTAAGATCATTTATAAGGCAACATTCAAAGCGTCATCGAGGGACTATGATCTTGTATTCTTTGATTGTTTTTGCTAAGACGCCTCACATGCATAACATGACCATCATAAGGCAACAAGTGGAGTTAACCCTAGAGATGCAAGTGTGCAAGTGTTTGTATTTCATGCTTGATTTATCTTGAATTAAAGCTTTCTAAGTATTGATTTTATCTTTCCATACAAACCCTAATTACTAGCATTTATATGAAAGCAATAAATTGCGGAAAGTAAATATCCTACGCTATTACAATCACTTGGGGATGAGGTGTACAAATTTATAAATGGGGGTTGCAAGAAATTAAAGTCTTAATTATCTATTACAACCATATTGAAATAATGTAAAAGAATTGAAATGTAAAATATACTTGTTTTGTTTTTATTAAGAGAAGAAATAAATTTGCTTAAGGAAATGTTTTTAGTCTTTTTGTTTTAAAAGAAATAAAGCAAAGTATTTTTGATGTTTTTGATTAATGAAAATAAAAGTGATGATAAAAATAATAAGAGAATAAGAGTTAGATTCAACGTGTTGCCGAAAGAATAGAAATAAGAGATAACAGAAGTTCTGACTCAGGCGCGCTGCAAATCAGAAAGAAAATGTTAGTAAAAATGGGGAAAGCCAGAAGTTCTGGATCCAGACGGGGTTACTGGAAACAAAGGAAAGCCTAAAAGTTCTGATTGTTGAGAGAGCCCAGAAATTCTGATGCAGCAACCTAGAAGTTCTAGTGTTACTAGAAGGCTAGAAGATCTATTAATGGGTAATGAGGTGACGATGTTGTTGGATGAGAATATCTAGAAGTTCTGGGCTGGGAGTACTGTTTTGACAAACAAATGGGGGGGTTTATCTAGAAGTTCTGTTCCAGGAATGTTGTTTGACAAATAATGGGATAAAATGTTAAGAAATAAACATAAAATGTGCTCCTGGGATTAGAACCCCGGACCCTTAACACTAATGCCTTATGCGCGCGCTCTCTACCACTAGGGTGGCTATACATCCGGTATTAGAAGCAAAACCATAAACATATATTACAAAGTAAGTTCTGATGATGAACTTCATCTTCTTCTTCGCGCGAGCCAGAGTATCTGCAACTTAGTCATTTCTCAACAAAAATAGAAAATGCAAACATAGAAGTTATGACAAATTTCATCATAGTTTCAGAAATACAAAACATTAAAACTGTAAACCAGAAGCAAGCATGAATTTTGCTAATTCTAATTCTGAACCCTAATTTTCTCAAGAAGTTCTGATCTGAAATTCTCTCTACATAGGCCAAATAAATGAAATATATAAATATGTACAGATTTAGAGCCATGATATCTACATTGTGTCTTTGAATTTTCAATCCTAACAATGCCTAAGTAATGATATGAAAATCAGAAGAAACTTACCTTGCAGTAGGAAATTGTTCTGTGAGTTAGAGCCTGGTTCAGATTGTTGTGATGTTCTGGTCAACTTCCTCAAGTTCTCAGAAAGCTAAAGCAACCCTTAACTTGAGTTATGGATGGTTGGAATGCTCTGGAGAAGTCAAGATGCAAAGTTCAGAAACGGTGTGGATGATTTGGCTAAGAAATGCACAAGGAAAATTAGAGTTTGGATGCAAAAACCAGAAACTAGCAGGTTTTGTGTTTGTGTTGCAGATTCAGGTTCTTGGGAATTTTCAGCAAGGTTTCAGGGATTTTTTTAATCTTTTTTTTTTTCAGTTTGCAAATGAAGTTTAATTTATAGGCAAAGGATTTAGAAGCTTGGAGAAGTCAGGAGTACAACCATCACGTGTTATAGATCGTTGACTTGTTTTTGAAGCAAGTTTAGACAAGCATGGTTTAAAGGCAAGGTAGGGTGGTTAGCAGCTATAAACACGCCTAATCTGAGTTTGTAGGCATGATTTGTGGGGAAGTACACTCAGAAACAAAGTAAAGCATGGGCTTGTTTACCGTGGTTTTTAGTAAACAACCGATGATCCTCCTAAAAGGAAAGTCCTTTTGGTTACTCGCGGGATCGATCAGATTGATCCCAGAACATATGCTAATTTTTATGTTTGGTTTGATGTGAAAATAGATGTCTGGGAAGAACGCACATTCGACCAGAAATAAGATGCTTGTGTTTTTAGAAAGTAGGAAAGTTAATAGAAATGCAGGTAAAGATGCAAGAAAAGTAACTTTGCAAAATAAGATCAAAGCAATGTAAAAAAGACTTTATTAATGAAAAGTGGTGTTTCCAACATACATTTCTCAGTTTATCCTTTCACACACAGCGGGTACTTGGACAATATTTGAGTAACTAGCACAATAGGTTGAACACACAGAAAAACTACACAGACTTCCTATTTTATACTAAACTACGTAACCTTCGAGGGGTGGCTTTGATCTAAGATGAAGACAAGTGTTCTCTACATGTCCCTCGACCTCTCTCTTCCAGCCACGTTGCTTTCCTTTAAATGCTGGCGAAACCGTCTTTCCCTCCAACAATTCAAATTCAAATATCCTTCGTCTTTGGCATTGACACGAAGGTATGTTCTTCTAGTCGAAGGTCATAAGACCTTCTTAGTCGAAATCTTGATGGTGATGCCTGGTCGAAGACCAATGTGTAACTTAGATATTTTCTTTAAGTTTTTTCCATCTGTCGAAATATTTTCCAGCTTAGCTTTATTTGTACTATTTTTGGCCTATAAGGCCAAT